TTAGTGATGGGGTCTCGCTCTTGCTCAGGTTGGTCTTGAACTCCTGAGCTCAGGCATCCCACCTTCGCAGCCTCTCACACTTCCTGACGGCGGCAGGGTTGCCTTTGTCTTATTTACTTCTTTATGCTTTGTGCCCAAAACAATGACTAGCACAGTAGGCAGTTCAACAAGTATCTATTCACTGAGTAAGTAAACATAATATTATATGATTTCCCCACACTACATTCCCTGAAGCAAAATCAGATGTTAAAAATTACCAATTTTCAGATGCAATCTCAAAAACATGAGTTGAACACAATTAACAGTCTCTGAGGAGTTGAAGCGTTTCCAGTACAAACAAGTTAAATTCATAATACTTAAGGAAATCTTTATGACATTCAATCTCCAGTAAAAAAATCAATATCAGTATTTTTATCTGTATTTATCTAATACCATTTGTCAGGCCAACTGGTTCCTATTTTAAAGATACCTCATAGGCAGTCTGAAAAGAATCTAACATTCCTTTCATAATAAAACATTTCATTCAATGTAAAAAGAAGGTGGTAATGGAATATGTTAACTGCATTGTAACTGCGGGTAAAACTGGAATACAGAATTATCTGAATAAACTATTCCCAAATTTCTACTGCCCTCTTTTGCAGAAATCTCAGCCCAAACCAGGTCCATGTGCTCAAAACTGCAGTGGTCCCTGCCATGTCTGCAGATAAAACTAAACCCTATTAGAGCAGCCCAAGAATGGGTCACCAAGCCAAAGGCAATCACGTATGCATGGAACATACATGATCAGGAGATCAACTGCTCTGGAACTGGCTTGGTGCACATCAAGCCCAAGAAAAGAGCTTCCAACTGGATGGGAGTTAAACTGGCCCTCTCGGATCCCTCTTTATGGGGAAGCATCAACGTGAGGTGATCACGGGCAAGGCTGTGTGCTGAAGGATACTGACTGCTGCTGCAGTTTGGGGAGACCTGCTCTCCGTTCTAGACCACGACACAGTTCCTAATGTCCCTGTCTGAACGTGTTAGGGAAAAGCATCTGGGCAGGTGTCTTCCTTGCCCTGGAGAGAATAAATTCATCCATCCACAGACTGAAAATATAAATCCCCTGACTACACATGAAATGACAGGGAAATTATTTTCTCTATAAGCTGCAAGTGTGTCAAAGAAGTCCCTGCAGATAAGAATGTCCGAAGTACAGCTGTCCTCAATGGGGAGGGCACAAGACCAACAAAACACTTCCATATAAAATCCAGCAGTACACCGAAAAGTAACCTCTATTCCTATTTAAGTATCCATATTACTGTATAAATGAAGAAAAACAGCTACAACTATTGCTACAATTGGAGCATAGCCCGGTATGTGTCTGAAAAATACACCCAGTAGTGCTCTGAACAATACCTGATAGTAGAAAACCTACCTAGAAAGAAAATCCTAGAAACGGATGGCTTCCCTGCAGTTATTCTAAGTGTTTAAGAAACAAAGAATAGCAAGCTTTTATAAACTATCCTAGAGAAAGGAATGTGGGATTTTTCTAATTCATATTCTGAGGGCAGCACAACCATGATACCCAAACCCGAAAAAGCCATTATCAGAAAGTAAAGTTAGAGACCAACATCTCATGGATTTAGATACAGAATCTTAAAATTGAAAACAAACAAACAAAAAAACCTATATACTAGTGCTTTGACTAGGCAAGTCACCAATTACAAAAAAAAATGTGGTTCCACAATTCAGTTCAACCAATCGAAACATACATAATTTTGCATAGAAAATTATGTATCTAGCAGAGAATTAGGATGAATAAATCCTAGATCCCACTCTCAAGAAACTTAAGCGACTAAAACAAACAAGAGAAAAAAGATTTGCTGAATCCAATGCACCAAGTCCCACAAAAGTGACAGGTGCCCAGTGTTCTGAGGTACTGCAGGCAGGACCTCCCTTTTTCTAACAGTACATTCCTGGAATACACATCACAATGGGGGATGCCAAGGAAAGATGCTATCTTCCTATTAGGATTGGCACCAGATATACTATGCTAGATAATACCAAATAAATTGGCAAAAAATATGTTCAAAAAAGTTTTAATAACTGGAAGGATCTACATTACTATAAAAGACAAAGTTGGGCTGGGCACAGAGGCTCACACCTGTAATCTTAGTACTTTGGGAGACCAAGGTGGGAAGATCACTTGAGGCCAGAAGTTTAAGATCAGTATGAGTACAATCATGACATTATCTCTACAAAAAAACAGAAAAATTATCCAGACATGGTAGCACAGGGCTGTAATGCCAGCTGCCCAGGAGGCAGAGGCAGAACAATGTCTTAAGCCCAGGAGTTTGAGGCTGCAGTGAGCTATGATGCTGCTGCAGCACTTAGCCTGGACAGCAGAGTGGGACTCTGTCTCACAAACAAAAAGTTAAACATCATCTCCTATAAAAATATACAAATTCCAGCTCAGCAACTATAGCTCAGTGGTTAGGGCGCCAGCCACATACATCAGAGCTGGCGGGTTTGAACCTGGCCCAGGCCTACCAAATAGCAATAACAACTACAACAAAAAAATAGCCGGGCATTCTGGCAGGCACCTGTAGTCCCAGCTACTCAGGAGGCTGAGGCAAGAGAATCGCTTAAGCCCAAGAGTTTGAGGTTGCTGTGAGCTGCAATACCACAGCACTCTACTGAGGGCTACATAGTAGGACTCCATCAAAAAAAATTATATATATATATATATATATATGTAAATACACACGCACACAAATTCTATGAAACCAGCAGACAAACTAACACACCCACACAAAAACTCAATTTAATTCACGTTGGAAGGGAGAGGGAGGAGGATGGGCGTGCTCTCTAAGGCGCACAGTGTAAGGGTAAACGGCACACCCTGGGTGAGGGGCGCAACTACAACAGGGACCTTACCTAACAAATGCAAACACTGTAACCTAAACGTTTGTCCCTTAATCTGAAATTTAAAGAAAATAAAAAATTAAAGATAAAAAATATATATATATACACACACACATATATATACAAGTTCAACATCTTTCATAAGAGTTTTCAAGGTTCAAAGAATGTAAGTTATGAGAAGTGTTACACATTCACCAAAAAACATCCTAAATAGTTGCGTGTTCTCCTCTCTTTGAACAAGCTGAGGCAACGCTTTCTCTTCTTTCTCAATACATTTTCCTGTGCCAGCGGAGCATTTGCAGTCCACGGGCCCTGAAGCCATCCTGGAGACTCTGATTTGACTTTATAATCCCTCACCGTGGACGTCAGTGCTGATATGTCTTTAGTGGAAGGCACACCGCAATTTTAGATGTGTGCTAAAGGAATTCAGAATCCAACTGGGTTTCAAATCCAGAATGTGGCACTTACAGCCATGTGATCCTGGGCATTTCTTAACCACTCTGAGTTTCAATTTCCCCGTGTGTAAAATAGAAACCATACCTACCCTCACCACTGTTAAGACGTATGAGAAGCGCCTTAACAGTTGTGGGCATTCAATAACTGGTGGCTGACGTGAATGCTATTATTTCTTTTTTTCTTTTCTTTTCTTTTTTTTTGAGACAGAGCCTCAAGCTATCCCCTTGGGTAGAGTGCCATAGCATCACAGCTCACAGCAACCACCAACTCCTGGGCTCAAGCGAGTTTCCTGCCTCAGCCTCCCTAGTAGCTGGGACTACAGGCGCCCACCACAATGCCCGGCCATTTTTTTTGGTTGCAGCCATCATTGTTGTTTGGTGGGCCTGGGCTGGGGATTCGAACCCGCCACCTTAGGTGTATGTGGCTGGCGCCTTAGCCGCTTGAGCCACAGGCGCCGAGCCTATTATTTCTTTACGATCTTTCTTCTACCCACCTGGCATATCCAAAGTTAAAAGTTCAAGTGGTACTGTACAGAATCAGATTCAATAAAGGCCAACAGTAAAAAACACCGATTAGCCTAATAAAGTATTTCAAAAATAAAACCCTCCTACAACTACCCCCAATGATAACCACCAGTATTACATTTTGGGATAATCCATCTAGTTTCTCCCTAGTTGGAAATTTTTCTGTAGAATTACTGAAACTAGAATAAAACTATATCCCCCTATCGTACCACCAGACACCAGTGGGAAAGGGAGAGACAGTGAGAACACAGCGGTCAACAACGCCAGAAATGAAGTGGAGTGGTCAGACGCCCAGGGCCATACAGCTCCGCAGAGCTGCACACCCAGGAGCATGGGCTTAAGGCCACTCAACTGTGCATTTAAAAATGGCTGAAATTATACATTTTATGTGATAGACATTTTACTACAACAATACAAAAGAGCCAAAGAAAAATCCAAGAAGTCAGGGCTTAGTCCATTTTGCATCCTTAGAACCTAAAATGTGTCAGAACATTAGACCCAATCAAACAAATAAGAGAAAACGGGTGATGGGATCAGTATACCTTTCTCTACTTTCCACTCAATGAACTCTGATGAGTAAGGGTACTCAGAAATTAAGTACTGCTCACAAGAAACGTGCCTTGATGGTTTGTAACAGATGACATTAGTCTGCTTCTACAGAGGAGCAACAAGGCAGGCTGACATCCGACTGACAGTTGAAATGAAGGAGAGTCTCTTTAGAGTCGGCCCAGGCATAATAAGGTTGCTGTGACCCACCAGATCAGGACATGTTTCATCAGCAAGACCTGCAGACCTCTGTATTCATATTTCATAGCTATAGTCAGAACACAGAACTGTCACATCTAAAGCTGTGCTTTACAAATTCATGATACGAAATACTAACATCCATGCGGTTTTAGGATTTATTCACATCTTTGCTAGACTGAGAAAGATAACTAATCCAGTCAACTGTCATTAATCCTTACCCACCAGGGGCAGCCCTCGGGTGCTCTTTAGGGGTGACTTCACAGATGGTTAAGATATGTCAGGCTACCGGCTCACGGGTGCTTTCCTGGTTGTTACTTTAGGTATACTAAGCAGATGAAAATCTTGTTTTTTGAACATTTTTAAACTCACCTGTCGAGTTAGCACTGGAGTTTTGCACAGACCCGGGAGCCGCTTCATTTCTAGATGCTATAAAAATAAAGAAATACCCAGTTATGAAAGAACATTTAGTATTTAACTAAGAACAGTGGCAATACGTTCCCTTCTGCCCTTGGAAGGGGTGCTGTGTGAGGGTAGTTATTCCGGAGAAGTTGCACTTTTGTCCATGTTGCTAGGAAAAGTACCTTGAGGTCGTGTGCAGTAGCTCAGGCCTATTATCCTACCACTCTGGGGAAGGTCGAGGCGGGAGGTTCATTTGAGCTCAGCAGTTCAAGACTAGCCTTGAACAAGAGTGAAAGCCTGTCTCTACTAAAAAAGAAAAAAATTAGCCAAGTGTTTGGAGGAAGGAGGGCTATCGTCCCATAGGCCCAGCTGCTTGGGAGGCTGAGGCAGGAAGACAGCTCGAGCCCAGGCATTTGAGGTCGCTGTGAGGTAGGCCAATGTTGTGGCAGAGACTCTGTCTCAAAAAAAAAAAAAAAAAAGGCTCGGCGCCTATAGCTCAACCGGCGAAGGCGCCAGCCACGTACACCTAAGGTGGCGGGTTCGAATCCCCAGCCCGGACCCGCCAAAACAACGACGGCTGCAACCAAAACATAGCCGGGCGTTGTGGCGGGCGCCTGTGGTCCCAGCTACTTGGGAGGCAGAGGCAGGAGACTCGCTTGAGCCCAGGAGTTGGAGGTTGCTGTGAGCTGTAATGCCATGGCACTCTACCCAGGGGACAGCTTGAGGCCCTGTCTCAAAAAAAAAAAAAAAAAAAAGGTACCTTGAAGCTGTCAGTAATATGAAAGTGTACTACTGAGTTTTTAAGATAGAAAACCTGTACTTTATGTAATGTACACACAGTACTACTATGTGCCAATCACCGAGTGTAACAGCTTTCCCGAAGTTCAGCAACTGGTGCTGATGGATGACCCAATTTCTGCTCCTGCCAACTCTGCTCTTCTGAGTGGAGGAGACCATTTCAGGAGGGCCCCTCTCCATGGATGGCTCTAACTTCATACAAGGCAGAGATGAAGTAGATAGGATTTTCATATTTAATTACAAGCCTTCTCAGTATGCTTCTTTTAACTTTTTAACTAACATTTTAAGATTTAGAAAAAAAATTAAGAGTATTTCATGCCTCACTTAAGCAATTTGCTGGAATGGTTCATTCACCTGGAGTCTTTTGTACAGTGAAGATTAAATACATACACCACACGAGAGGGAGCAAGTCACGGGGTTGAGTGCTGCAGCGTCAGAGCTCACAGTAACCTCAAACTCGAGGGCTCAGCTTATCCTCTTGCCTCAGTCTTCTGAGTAGCTGGGAATACAGGTGTGCGTCAGCATGCCCAGCTAGTTTTTCTATTTTTAGTAGAGGAAAGGTCTCATTCTTACTCCGGCTGGTCTCGTAACTCCTGAGCTCAGGGGATCCACCTGCCTTGACCTCCCAGAGTGTACTGTGTGTACTATTTACTTTTTGCAAAGAAAAACCCTCTCCTACTTAAAAAAAAAAAAAAAAAAACTTTAAAAGAACCCTCAAAGTATAAAGAAAAGCAACAACAACTTTGAAAGAGCACTTTCCTGCTTGTGCAAATTTCTTCCTCTTAATGGGACTAGATCCATTTATCACAAAAGGATACGGCACAAGATTAAACTTGAAAAAGAACAGAGTCCCAGCCTAAGCAAGAGGAGACTCCATCTCTACATAAAATAGAAAAATTATCTGGGAGAGGTGGTGCATACCTGTAGCCCCAGCTACTTAGGAGGCTGAGGCAGGAGGATCCCCTGAGCCAGGAGTTTGACATTGCAGTGAGCTATGATAATGCCATGGCACTGTAGCCCAGGCCATAGAGTGACAGGACAGGATGGGAAAAAAAGAAAGGAAAAGAAAGGAAAGAAATCAACAGCCTACATAGATATATATTTAGCCACAGTCATGAAGTGTTTACCACCTGCCAGGCCTGTGGGGAGCATGTTAATCGGCATTAAATCATCTGACCCTCCTAACAATTCTGAGACAGGAGTGCCATTTACATCACAGGTATAAATGTCACTTCTAGTGAAGGCCACCCAGTTAATAAAGGCGAAGTCTGGATTTGGACCACGCTGTTTTTTTTTTGTTGTTTGTTTTGTTTTTTTCAGTTTTTGGCTGGGGCTGGGTTTGAACCTGCCACCTCTGGCATATGGGGCTGGCACCCTATTCCTTTGAGCCACAGGCGCTGTCCTGGCCATGCTGTTTTAATCGAAAGCCTATAGATGTGAGTGCCAAAATGGAACTGCTGACTTTCTTTAAAAGTGCTCCTCCCCAATCTTCCCAACTGTTGCATTACCCTTGCTCAACACTCACACTAAGAGGTAACCCTTTGATTCCACGCTCTTCCTCACTCCACCCTCCACACAGATCTAGGATCCTCCCCCCACAATCTCCATTAACACTCACCATCATCTTTTGCCTGGACTGCTGTAAAAGCCTGTTTTTGTCTGCCTTGTATTGTCACTCCAGCGCAATGATTCCTCAATTTCTTGGCAATCTATTCGAACCCTTGAATACAGTCATTTCCAAGCTACCTTAATCCTTGGATTTTTCTGTTACAAGGGTCGATAAAGTCCCTTCTTTCCCCTAGGTTGTTCAAGGTGGGATTCTGTCACCTGCCACCAAGAGTAAGGACCAGTGCCTCCCCTCCCATCTTACTTTGTGTATCTCATTAGACTACCATAAAATCTATCCCGTTTGCTGATTGTGCTAGCTTGGTGATAGTCTCTCCCCTCCTCAAACTGATGTTCATAATACTCTGCAGCAGACTATGAATATTTTAAAAGCAGAATTTCAATGTTTTCCCCTTCTCCCATAATATTCTAGGCAGTGGCAGCATTGTGGAATGAAAGCATTATCTACTATAAGAGCCAACACCATCTTATGTGGCTTTAGTGGTAAAATGGTGGAGAATTTGGATTCTGATCTGATATCAAACATGTATTAGTGGTCTTACTTTGAAGAAGTTAGCTTACTTCTGAGCCTCAGTTTACTCATCTATAAAACCAGGATAACGCTATAAGAATCCAGTGGATGATTTGTGAACCTCAATTAGTAAGTATAGTGTTGGGTACACAGGAAATGCAACGGGAATAATTAGCTATGTAAGTTTTAGTATGATTGTTAATCAGTACAGAAAAATGGCTGTACTCGATCATACCTTTTGTAATGATACTTTACACAGCTTTACACAGTGTGTGTGAATGAAGACTAGGGTAACAGTTACTTGCTCTTTAAGATCTTCTATTGAACCCTCTCTTCGTCTAGTTTCAAGGTAATATAAGAGCCTATAGAAGCAGATTCCACCTCATGTTGGTTATACCAGTTCATCAATTCAGGGCTCACCTTTAGTTGAGCATTTCAAGTTTTCCAAATAGCACTAACTCCTGGTGAGACATTAAGTAACAAACAGAACATTGAGGGTCAAAAATAGGCAAAAAAAAAAAAAAAAACTGTGTTATGAGGGCAAAAGAAAGCAAAGCAAGACCACTCAGTTTCTCTGATAATTAATTAGAGAAACATCAAAAAGGTTTACTTGCACAAAATAAAAGCAACAAATTATTCAAAATGCAGACTTCCCCCCATAAATACTAGTATGAAATTAGCACCAAGACAAACGATGAACATGATTTTTATCAACAATTCCTTTCTCTCTTTTGTTTTTTAAGAGTGTCTCATTCTGTTGCCTGAGCTAGAGTGCCTTGGCGTCATGGCTCACAGCAACCTCAAACTCCTGGGCTCAAGCACTCCTCCTGCCTCAGGCTCCCACGTAGCTGGGACAACAGGCAGGGACAACCACGCCCAGCTAATTTTTCTATTTTTAGTAGGGACGGGTTTCACTCCCTCTCAGGCTAAGTCTCAAACTCCTAAGCTCAAGCAATCCACTCGCCTGGCCTCTCGAGTGCTAGGATTACAGGTGTGAGCCACTTCAACCATTTCTTTTCTTTTCTTTTCTTTTTTTTTTTTTGGCCGGGGCTAGGTTTGAACCCGCCACCTCTGGCATATGGAGCGCCTCACTCCTTTGAGCCACTAGTGACGCCCGACCATTTATTTCTTAAATGACCCATAAACTAGATCAAAGCCAGGCTGTCACATGTAAACAAACAAAAAAAATTCATATAAAACAAAAATTCTTATTTAATTCACCCAGATTATTCTAGCAAAATCAGGTGTTGGCCCTCACTTGCCTAGATTTGCAAATTGCTTTTTCATTTGCTGGATACAAGTAATGTAACACCAGTGGCCCGGCTTTTTGCCCAGCAAATCCAGTTTCCTGGCCTCATCCAAAAGAGACTTTTAAAAATAAAAAGGTAAGTCTTCAAATAGCCAATGGTATAAAGGGAAACATACGTCCCCCTATACAAAAGTGTCAACATTATTTTGTTGTGGACCTTACTGACCACGTCGTGAGGTTCCTGGTGCAGGTGCTATCTCAAGGGTGCGCAGCGGGGCCGCGCCAGGCCCCTGCCTGGGCACCCCGAGGCGGAGGGAGCCCCACCCGGGCCCCAGCCTCACCTGCGCCACGAGAGCAGGGTGAGCTTCCTAAATGTTCCCAACTAGCTACATGAGCCCCGAAGACGAACTTTACGCGTGTGAGGGACCTACCGACTGTAAGTCATTTGGTTAGTATCACACAAATGAAATGCCTGGAGACGCCCGAACAGTTCCCAACTAACCGGGAGACATGTTTCCGCAGGAATCGGTAGACATATTTTTCAAATCACCTAACTTTATTTACAAACGGAAGCCTTAGATAACCTCGAACACAAGAAACATTAACCTAAGGGAAAGGCTACAAAAAACGAACTTGAGCCCTCTGCCGAAGGCCCGCCCCTCGGGGAACTCAACAGGTCACCCGCACCCCTGCCGGCCTGCGCCCGCCGCCGCTTCCAGAAAAAAAGGCAACTTCGTCAGCTGGCGGCCCCAGGCAAGTGGGAGACCGGTCCCAGCCTCAGTTTCCTCCCCCATCCGGTCACCTCGAGTCCGCCCCGTGCACTCAGTTCAGAGACAAGCAGAACTTTCCGTACAAGATCGCAACTTGGAAACCCAAGCCTCGGCAGCGCATTCTCTCCCAGGACCGGGGCAGGAGTCCCCCGAGCCACTTACCCTCAGGGTCCAAGGCGGCCCCCAGCAGCGCTAGCACCTGCAGCGTCCCCAGGAGCAGTGCGGCCCAAACACCTCGCGCGCCCTGTCCCATTGTTCCGAGGGCAGGAAGCGGCGGCCTCGTATGTCCCCAACTGAGGTGGCGATAGCGGCCCAGATGCGCACTCGGAGCCCTCTCAGCGTCCCCTTCCGCTGCGCACGCCTCACCCCCCGCCCCCGCCGCCTGCCCCCCAATGACCAAATAGGGCGCAGGAGCTGGGCCTGGAGTGGGCGTCGCGCGCCAAGCCCTGGCGGCGGGACGGGGCGGGGACAGGGGCGGGGCTTGCTGTTCCTGGCGTGGCGACTCCGCTCCCGACCCCTCCCCACTCCGGCGCGCGCCTGGGGACCCCAGATCCCGCGAGCTGTGGCCTTTCTTTTCCGGAACGGCGGTTTAGTCGTCCGGCTTGAAAGCCAGCGCTGGGGCCTCTCTGAATACTGAGCACGCCGGGCTCCGCGGGGCCCGGAAGGAGTTTTGGGGGGAGGAGTTGCAGGCGGGGCCGCGAGAAGAGGGGAGTCTAGAAGAGCAACGAGCGGATGGGATTACCTCTGAGGAGTCCTGGGTGATGGGACCTCTCCCTTCGGGTGGCCCAGTCCAAGGGAGATTTGTTAAAATGTAAAACATCGATGATCTCCATGCCCCAGTGTACCTCATCGTCTCCACGGGTTCTCTGTACCTCTGAATAAAGACACAGTCCGTGCGCTTGCAAAGAGAGTGGAGTCGGAGGGTGGGCGCGCGCACGGGTGTTGGTAGCTGTTCACCCCGAAGAACAAGAGAGCCACCCGGGCTTGGGGCGCGAAAATCTAACTCAGCCCCTTCTCTACTTGGGGTCTCCTGGACCAGTCCTGATGGAATATCTCGTTTTAAACAGTTTTTGGCTAAGTCTGTCTTAAACCCTTGGAGCCAATGCTTACTCGTCTTGACTTGCAGTGCTTTTAAAGTTTGTATTTTGATTTTGCTCAGAACTCTGAAGTGACAGGTATCTATTTGAGGCCGAGGCAGGAGCACAGTAGAGATTGAGTCCAGGCTTGTGCGGGAACCCTCAGCTGAGGTGGACCGTGGCCGGAAGGATCCAGGGCCAAATCACCGTGAATCTCCACCTGCAAAGTTAATGATGTTGGAGACCTTTGGTACCTGACACAGATTTGATAATATGAAGGGTACGTTGCATTTACATCCCCAAAACTACGGTATGAGAAGGCGTGAATATAATCTACGGCAAATCTACCAATATGGACATGACTAATAATAGAGATTAACTGGAGCAATCTGGCTTAAATATACAGACTCCTGTCGGTGGATTTAATCAGCCAATCTGCAAATACTTGCCAGCATCTACCATGAGCAAAAAGCCCAGCACTACACATTCAGGTTTTGGTTATTCTGGGGGCAGGGGTCTGGTTTAATAATAAACTATTCTGGTAACTACCTACGCCATTGACCTCATTATCCAAGTATTTCACAATCCAGGCTCAACCTGTCTTTCCAGCCTTGGCTCTGCTGCCCGTGGACAGGGCGCTGTTTTGGAGCCCGGCGTCTGCATGCATTCTTCTTCTGAAAAGCCCTCCATTCTCGTCACCAACTCTCAGCTAACATTTCGTTTAAGGCTTAGTGTACGTGTAACCTGAGAATCTAGGTGGAATAAGAGGTCTGAATGTTCATGTCACCCCCAAATTCACGTGTCAAAACCTAATCTTCAAGGTGATGGTATTAAATGATGGGGACTTTGGGGGTGAGCAAGTCCCTAATGAATGGGGTTCCTGCCCTTATAAAAGTGACCTTCAGGAATTTTTTGCCCCTTTTGCCTTCTGACAACACGACAAGGTGCCTTCTGTAAAGCAGAGAGCCTGCACCAGACACCAATCTATTGGCACCTTGATCTTGGACTTCCCAGGCTTCCAAATTGTGGCAAATTTCTGTTCTTTATAGATAAAGGTATTTTGTTACAGCAGCAGGAACAGACGACAGTATGAAGACAAGATAACCACTGGACAGTTTTTCCTGGGACTGACCTTGGTAGAGAAAACCTCAGCTCTTCTCCGCAGTCTGATGTCCACACCACGGTGTGATTGGGTGTGCCCAGCATTACTTTTCTTTTCTTTTTTCTTTTTTTTAAGGCAAGCACAAGCTTATTGAGCAAAGTAAGATGTGTCCATCACAAACAGCAAACCAGCCCCCTGTTATTACAGGAGGGCCCCCAGCATTTCTTTGGTAGTAACAGCTCAGTACCATGGGTTGGACATGTGTTCTCTAGTCTGAGGAGACAGGAAGGGCAAGGAACTTTCTGCCCTCCAGAAACTCTAAGGGGAGGTTTGGCCTTCAGAGATCCCCCCTCTCCAGTGCTGTGTCTGGATCCCTTTCTGTAACCTCACCAGACCCCTCAAAGTTCTCCAAACACGCCCGGGCCTTCCACACCCCTGTTTTTGCTTTAGAAGATCCTTCGATCAAGATGCTTTCTGAGCTTTCTGATCTTCCACTTGTCCCTCAAGATTCCTATCATATCTCACCTTCTCCCTAACCATCAATCTTCCTAGGCAGATTTTAGCTCTCTCATCACTCTCCTCACACTTTCATCAGCTTGGCCTCCTCACTTCTACCATCATTCTCTATGCTGTTCTCTAAACAGCAGCCGGTGTGATCCTTTTAAAATGTGAGTCAGGGGCGGTGGCTCACACCTGTAATCCCAGCACTCTGGGAGGCTAATGTGGGTGGATCGCCTGAGCTCACAAGTTCCAGACCAGCCTGAGCAAGATCGAGACCCCATCTCTAAAAATAGAGATGGCATTGTGGTGGCACCTATAGACTCAGCTATTTGGGAGGCTGAGGCAAGAAAATCACTTGAGCCCAGGAGTTTGAGGTTGCTGTGAGCTATGATGCTACAGCACTCTACCAAGGGCAGCAAAGTGAGACTCTAAATAAATAATTAAATAAATAAATAAAATATAAGTCAGACAATGCCATTCCCCGCCACCTTCCAGAGTCCAAAACCATGACCTATTAGGCCTATGGGGCATGTCCTTGACTGCCCTTCCTCCCTCATTTTCTACCCTCACACCCTCTTCACTAAGCTTTACCATCCAGTGCATTAGAGATGCCCAGTCAGTGCTCATCCCACAGCCTGCGTGCAGTCAGTGCTCATCCCACAGCGTGTGCGCTCGCTCCTCCCTCACCTGCTCCCTACTCATCTCAGGAAAGCCTTTCGTGAAATTCCTCATTTACAGTCTTTGTGGCACCTCCCACTATCCATCATCATGCTCGTTTGTATATCTGTTGTTGATCTCTCCTATAAGGTCCGTGAAAACACAAGGCTGCCTGTGTGTGTATTTCTGGTCTAGCTCCTGTCTCACATTGCTGCAGGTCACTGGACACTTGTGTGAATTTGCTTTACTTAGAACTCAGATTTTCAGCCTCCCTTACAACTGAGCTCAAGAATGTAATCTAGAGGGCGGCACCTGTGGCTCAAAGGAGTAGGGTGCTGGCCCTCTATGCTGGAGGTAGTGGGTTCAAACCCAGCCCTGGCCAAAAATTGCAAAAAAAAAAGACAAGAAAAGAAAAAGAATGTAATCTAGGCTCTACTGATGAGGCTCATTTTTGTGAAACTTAATTCAGGTAGAAGCAACACAAGGACGTAGGCTGTGTGTGGAGCATGAACAGCCCGAGAGGCGGCTTGCTGTGTTGGCAGTGCTACCAGCAACTGGTGAGAAGCAGTAGTCTCTCAGGGTTACAGACTGAGTTTCTGATACAGAAGTGGCATGGGTGGAGAGCTGCACTGGAGGCGTTTCTTCTTGGGCTGGTTCTGCACTGGTTTTTTCCATCATTCCTGGAGGCTTGAATCTCTACACCTTCCAACAATCCTGAGAGTTACTCAGTATATTCAATATACTGCTTTTTTTTTTGAAAGAGAGAGTCTCACTCTGTCTCCCTGGGTAGAGTACTGTGACCTCATAGCAACCTCAAACTTTTGGGCTTGAGCAATCCTCTTGCCTCGGCCTCCTGAGTAGCTGGGACTACAGGTGCCCACTACTACACCCGGCTAATTTTTTCTATATTTAGTAGAGATGGGGGTCTCATTCTTGCTCAGGCTGGTCTTGAACTCCTGAGCTCTTGCAATCTGCCTGTCTTGGCTTATTAAGCAAGATAATCTGTACCTCAGCAAGAGTTGCTAGTTTTTGTTTTTCACAACTAAGGATCCTGACTCTATCTGATTGTCTTTTTACCCTCGTGGGCTACAATCTCTATTATATGATTTACCAACCATTTATTGAGTCCTTGTTATGTGATGGACAATGTCCTCACCAAGCTTATAGTCTAGTGGCAGGACAAATACATAGACAGTTACGCTAGAGGGTGTTAATCGTATGATGTGATAAGGGGAAAGCACACAGTGGAGGCATTTTCTATGTCTTCATCTTTGTACTTGAGGTTCTAAGCATTTCTCATCATGCAGAAGGCATTTAATTTATATTTGTAGAATGGGTTTTGGGTGGAGATAAACAGAGCAGCAAAATATTGGTACTGGCTGGGCACAGTGTACACCTATAATCCTAGTATTCTGGGAGGTTAAGGTGGGTGGTTACCTGATCTCAGGAGTTCAAGACCAGACTGAGGAAGAGCCAGACCCTGTCTCTACTAAAAATATAAAAACTAGCTGGGTAGGCAGTGCCTGTGGCTCAGTGGGTAGGGTGCCGGCCCCATATACCGAGGGTGGTGAGTTCAAACTCAGTCCCGGCCCAACTGCAACAAAAAAAATAGCCTGGCGTTGTGGCAGGCACCTGTAGTCCCACCTACTTGGGAGGCTAAGGCAAGAGAATCACTAAGCCCAGGAGTTGGAGGTTGCTGTGAGCTGTGTGAGGCCACAGCACCCTGCTGAGGGTGATGAAGACTCTGTCTCTACAAAAAAAACCAAAACCAAAACAAACACACACACAAAAAACTAGCTGAGTGTAGAGGCAGGTTCCTGTAGTCCCAGCTACTCAAGAGGCTGAGGCAAGTGGATTGCTTAAGCCCAGGGGTTTGAGGCTGCTGTGAGCTGTGTGAGGCCACAGCACTCTGCGGAGGGTGATTAAGACTGTCTCTACCAAAAAAAAAAAAAAAACCCCAGGAATTTGAGGTTGTTGTGAGCTATGACGGCAGCGCACTTTACACAGGCAAAGAGTGAGACTCTGTCTCAAA